AACTGTAAAATCTTTTAGGTCTTCTTCCATATCATCATCTTCGAGATATTCATCAGGGTCCAAAAGTTTTGACCTATTTTTGGTTAAAGAAGAGTTTTCAGGGATCTCATCAGCTTTGTTGTTATTATTATTGTTGTTATTCGAAGGTAGAATAACTGGTGAAAATTTATTAGGAGTGGCAATTTTAGATATGTCAAAGAATTCAAAATCCATTATTTTTTCTGGTAGCGAACCAAAAACTTCTTGAACAATTTCTAAATCTAAGTTAGTGGGGACAAAAGTTGAGGTTGAAGAAGACGAAGGAGCTGGTATAGAAATAACAGCTTCCTTTGGGGCTTTTGGAGTGACGTATGGAACGAACTTGGGATCACTAATTTTTTTTGTTTTGCAATACCTTTACGCATCATAACTCTCTCACATAGTGAAGAAGGTGGGTAAACCAAAAGAAACCTTCTTTATACTGGGTTTATTAATTAATTTTTTGTTAAAAATGAACTTTTTTAAATTTTTATTTATCTTGTGAAAATTTTGGTTTTGTAAAATAGGGTATATGCATATTGAATATGCATATATATATATTATACAATGCAGATAAATTGTTCGTATCACAAATTTCCTAATTCAAAACATTTATTAATTAATTCATGTTGATTTGTATGACACACATCCCAATTAAGTGAAAAAGTTAGTAAATTTAGTAATGATTACCACCAATTTTTCATTCAATAACATCTCTTCGTTAATTAAAAAACTATTAGATTGAATTAATTTTATTAAGTAATATAAAATAAAAAGTATTATTATTATTCGTTATTATCAAATAATTCATTAAAATCAATATTTGTTTTTTCAATATCAATCCATAAATGTATATGTAATTCAAAAAAAACTTCTTAAATCATTTGTTCTGATAAAAAAACTTTTTCATCTAAATTAAGTGAAGATTTAGTAATAAATCTTTCGTCTTCAAGAGGATCCATTGGAAATACAAATTTAACAAGATCTTGAAAAGTCATTTTTTTGGTTATTTGAATATTTGATTTATATAGAGACTTTTTTTTCAAATGAATAGTAGCTAAATCTGACTTCATTTATTTAAGAGATATAATAGAAATTAAAGGAATTGTAACCTGAATTGGATCTTAAATAAATAAATATTTATTTATTTAATAAATAAATTATTATCACTAACTAATTAAAAATAAAATTCACTTATATTAATTTATTACCATTATAATTTTCAAAAAGACTTTTAGAATTTGGATAATAATATTTAACTTTATCAAAAATATTAATTGATGGAGGATGAATAATATCTTCTCCATTAATATTAGTAATCTAAAAATATAAAAATTTATTATTTAATTAAAAATTATATTAAAAAATATTATAATTTTAATTCTTTCTATCGTTCTTACCTAAATTGTCATCATTTCACTATTTAATTTAAGATAGCATCCATCATTCGCAATTAAACAACCTTGAATATGAGATTCACATTTAGGAAGATTTTTATATATTTCTAATTTGGTAGCATCCAATTGTGAATTAGAAGTAGTCTAATATAGTTAAAATTAAAAATTTTTTATTGAATATAAATAAATAAATAAATAAATATTATAATAAATACATAAAAAATAAAATATTACACAAATTTTTTTGGAACAGATTCTTCAATATTATTTTCAATTACAGAACTTCCACAAATTAATTGTTTTCTTTTAATTTGTTTAGTATATACACATAATTGTACATTTTTATACTTTTAACATTTTATAATAAACGCGATAATAGCATCACTTGATTTTAAATCAAAATGATCTGCATTAGTAGATTTTTGATAGCATATATAACCAATTTCTATTTTTTCCTATTCTACCGAAAGGGTACGAGATAAAATTTCTTCTTCAATTTGACCAAAATTATTCAAGTTATTCAAATCATAAGGTATATTAACTGTTCTATCAAGTTTCTTTCGTGGCTGTGTAAATTTATCAAAACAAACTAATGTGATATATCCTAAATATAAATTATTAAAAATTAATAATTAGTAAATATAATATTAATTAGTGTTGCTGTCTGAAACTAAAATTCCGTAGTTAGAATTTCTGAAACTAGTTTAGTTATGTGTTAAAACTAGTTTAGTTAATAGCCAAAACTATCGAAACTAGTTTTGTTTAACCGAAACTAATTTTTGGTAGTTTAGAATTGCATCCTTAATATTAATAAATAGAAAATTAATACTTACGTAATTTAGGCTTTGATATAAGTAGCGCATTATTTGGTATATTTAATTTTGATAAAATTAATGGTAAAAATGATGGAAAATTTGTATTTGTTAAATCAATACAATTTTCTTTTTCAGAAATTACATTTGTAATATTTATGATGGAATTATGCTTTTTTTATGACTTATTGATAAATTTAAATAAAATAAAAATAAATTATTATTATTTATTCCAATAAATATAAAAAAATATACTTAAAAATAAAAAATATACCTTTATTTTTACTATGATATCTACTTATACAAATATTACAAACATTAGTATCATTTGGCGAAGATGATAATGAAAGTATAATTTTTGGAGAAATATTATCAAAAAACCAGTCAACAAATTCTGGATCTAATGTAACTTTTTGATTTATAGCATCTTTTTGTGAAAGAGGTTTATGACAAAAATTTACTATATAATTAGTTCAACTTTTTTCTTTTTCCATTTTATGTTTCTTGCTTGGCAAGTACATTTTTGATCATATTCATTTTGACAATCTAAGCAAATTAAACAAATGGGACAAGAGTTTAAGCGAAAGTCTAAAATCATTATATTG